CACAATCTCCCTTTCTTTTCTCCACATGTGTGCATCACTCCTCAGCTGTATATGTAGAATGCTACCGGTGAGGCTCTGCACATTTGGAACCCTGCACTCACTTTCCTTTTTTTTTTTTTTTTTAAACCTCCCAAACATCCTTTTCCTTTTTATTCCTCTCTTACTGTCTTGTTGCACTTTCTCTATTCCCAATTTCTTTCGTTCTTCACTTGCATTTCGCAGCCATTCTCAGTTCAGACCTTTCTGAATACTGATCATTGTTCGATCAAAACTTTTCTGTGAAACTCTTTCTACCATGCCGTCTGCTCGCACAGGCCTCAGGAAGTGGGTGTGTAGTGTGTTGAGTTAGTCGGAGGGCGAGAGAGAGAGAGGGGGAAAGAGAGAGAGATGCAGAGAGAGGAGGGGAAAGGGAGGATACTGATTAAAATAATAAACAGCTGTGTGAAAGAGTGGGTCGAGTGGACGGAGAGAACAGGAGCAACATAGGAAGAAGAGAGAGGGATGGGGACCCCAGTCTGAGCGTTTGTGTGACCCCAGAGAGAAGAAAAAAGTGAAGAAGAAATGAAACTTTCTAAGAAGTTGCCTCGTCCCAGGAGGGAAGAAAGAAAGGGATGACAAATAGATCAACATATTCTCTGTCTCAAGAGATAATCAGCGCTCCAACAGGAGAGAAGTTGGCGAGTCGATCTGGCTGTCCAGGATCAAGACGACGAACCTTGAGGCAGCACCCTGCCAACACGTGGTTCCAGAAAAAGAAGGAGGCATTCTTTGACTTAAGTGGCCCAGTCATGGCAGTGATTAGGGGGGTGTGATAGAGCGAGAGCAGACCCGCGCTGGAGACCTGGGAGCCGGGAAGGAAGGCAAACACTGAGGTAACTTTGTCTCGTTGAGCCCGTGTTACCTTCACTCAGGGGAATGAGAAGGCAGACCATGTGCCTCTTTGTTTGCGCCGTCTCTCTTCTGTGAAGTGTGTAGGGCTGTGTGACTGACGGCCGGGGATAAGGTCCTTTTTATCTGAGCAATTGAAAACAAACGCCCCAGCCCTGCCCAGGGTTGGGCTGCCGGACGATGTGTAAACAGCTTCCTTCATGCCCAGAGGGGAAGTAGAGGAAGGGAAGCATAGCAAAGCTGAAGGAGAGAGCCAGACCTGTCCTCGTCATCTTGGCGTTTTGCATCAGCCTGCCTGTCCCTCAAGACACAAACTGTTATCTTCAATTTGCAGACCTCCGCCCAAGATTTGTTGGATTTCCCTCCCAGCTTCAGTGCCCCTCTCCGGGTTCAAGGAACTCAGTTTCCAGCCTCTGGCTGCCACTTTGTCAGACTTGGCACCAGTCGTCCTGTTAATCCTGGTCCCGGCTCTAAAGCATGACTGCAGGGTAGCCCTCACCCTTCACTCGGCTGGCTGCCTGTCCAAAGAGGATGCTACGAGCATGCGGTGGGATTGGGCGAGCACTCACACCGGCATGCATGCACAGGTGCTGCCAAGGGGTGTGTGAAATGTGTAAATCGCCTGTTTCGGGACTGCGACCTGGATTTGGCCGTCTTTTGATTGAATATTTTTCAGCAGCTAGGTTTCACTGTAGTTGGATTCAAGATTCTTCAAACTTTGGATTTACCATTGATCGTAGCCCCAACCTTGAAGGTTTTGACCATAACCACTGGAGGACTTACCGATCTGTCCCGTCTCTTCGCCAACCTTTTACCTGTGTGACAGAAGTGAAGATGTAGACAGTGGGAGGAGTCAGAGCACACGCTCCAATATGATTGGCTTGAACTTCAGCTTGCGGGATTTTCTCAGAAAGTTTGAACAGGTATATATCTCCGGAGTTAAGGACTCATTTTTTATGACAGCTTGGCCTCGGCTTGGCGATGATTTCTTTTTTTTCACACATAATTGCGGTGTACCATAAATGCATATCCAGCCAAGATTCACCTTGGTCTCCCTCCTGTTTGAAGTTGTGATCTAACGTAGTCAGCTTTATGAGTTCTGAGTCATTGTTGAACTCATTAAAATGGAATAATCTGTTCTGCCATGCTATGCTACTTATCAGGGAGTGCTACCATGCAGAGAGAGATAATTAGTGTGTGAAAACCAGAGTCTTGAATTAAGCCTGATTTGTCAAACTAGACCTTTACTGTAATTGTGGTTTTAAAAAATTTGGATTAAGGCCACTGTTGTTTTTCAATATAAAACACCTACTTTGGGTTAGAAGATCAAAAACAAGACTTAGTGTGTATGTTAAGTATTTGATGTTTTATACTCCATAAAGCTATAACGTAATAGTTGTAACTTTGATTTAGAGGAAGTCATTGTCCTAATCTGTCCTAGTCATTGTCCTAATCTGTCCAACAAACTTACAATGTGCATGTGATGCAGAACTTTAATGTCCCCTGTGCATTTTTACCCACAAACCCACATGTGATTGTGTTTTAGCAGATCGAAGAGGCGGTGTTTCAGATGAGTCAGTAGCTGTCTGTGTTATGAATGCTAGATTTGTTCCTTTTTGTATATTTTCATATATCTGTGCTCGCAAATATGTGTCACAGACCTCAGCATCTTGACAGTTAAGTTTAAGGCTCCCTTGCTTGTTTATGTGAGTGTGTGTTTACAGAATTGCAGAATTGCACTCAGCAGAGCGCATGCCTTCACCAAGGCCCAACAGTCCCCTTGAATTCCATCAAGCTGCACCAAATTTCACACACTCCTAGATACCAGTTCCCTTTTGTCACCTCACGATCCCTGGATTATTCCTCGAGAAAATAGAGAAAATGTTGAAAAATGCATATTTGTCTCCCAATGTTAAAGAAAGCGAATAAAAAAATTCCCTCATCCATCACAAGATGTAATGGGTTCTTCCCTGACCCATACAATATCTTATTAACACGTTTCGTAGGAGTTCAGTTGTTTGAATGTAATCTTGCTTACAAACAAACAAACAATCATACAAACCAACAAACAAACATTGAGGAGTGAAGGTTTGTGATTCTTTATCCTCCCTTTTGATTTGATTTTCTACAATATCAGTGAATAAAACATGGAATAGTGGCATTTTGTAGCTGACACGGTGACCTGTGGCATTCAAATGTTTATGTTTTGGTCAGTCTGTGTATGTCTGTGTGAGAGCGAGAGTGATCAGCTCCGGATACAAGTTGACATATATAAACCTCGGACTTCAAGTGGTCTTTCAGTGGGTGAAATTAGATTTAAAGGGGGCTTTTGTAAATGAATATACAGTGTGTGCCTCTGTATGACCGCTCAGTCTGTAGCTCCTCTGTCGTGAGTGCAGTCAGTGTTACATCTAGGGGAAGTGCAAGTGCTAAAAGAAAAACAAAAAGGAAGCACTCGGGTAATGACTTGAAACGTAGCCAACGGGCTCAGTGGCCGAATGACTTTCCATTTTTTACTTTTCTGTATATTACTTTTTGTTTGCCTTTCCGTCTTTCTTTCCTTTGACTCTCTGCCTCTCACTCTCTTTTTCTCATCTGTCACCTTTCAGAGGAATTTGATTTGTGTCACAAAGGCAGCAGACGATTCTCCTGAAGATCAGAGCAGAGGGATTTGCCTCTGACTTCTGTAAATGTCTATTGTCATTCAGTATATTACAGCACAGTGCTTCAGATGACTGTGGTAATCGACAGTTGTTTTGTGAGTCTTCTAGTTCTGCTGTCGCTGGACTTTATTTTTCCAAGTTCAAGTTTTCCAGAGTAGCTCATGTGTAGTCACATGTTCCACTTAGCGTGTGCATGGTGTGTGTTGTCATGTGCATCTTACACCCACTCTATCTGTGTGTGTGTGTGTGTGTGCCAGTTCCCATTGTTGTACACTTGTGCACATGCAATATATTTTCCCCCACAGAGCAAAATGTATTCAATATTCAGAATTTTTTAATTTTAGTTTAATTGAAAGATTTTTTGCAACACTCTTCTGCTAACTGCTAGTAAATGTGTTTTTATTATTGTTAATATACTTCTATAATGCAGAGACAAAAATAAACCCATGCAGCAACATTAATAATGTTTCCCTAGATAAGGCAGTAATTGTAAAATGAAATCCAGTTAATTGCATTATTCCCAATCAGAGAATGATATGCAACAACAGCCACCACATATCACTCATTTTACACAACGTCCAGTTCTATTAATTTATTTTCATTACTGCTCTGCACTGTTGCAACCTTTAGGTGTCATTACACTTATCTACACAATTCTCTCCCATATGCACATCTGCTGCAGGCGTTGTTCCCCCCAGCCGTGTGGTCGTCTTCATCTGCAGTTAAAATGGCTAAAACTGAGGGTTGTCCCAGTAAAGAGTTGGAGAGGGAGGGAGAGACAGAGGAGAAAATGGAGCAGTTTCACACATATCTAAAAATAACACATTTGACAAGATCCTCTTCTTGCGTCAGTCCCTCTTGTGGTTCAACGCTCACACACACCCTTTGAGATATGGTTGTGTAATAGAGCTGCCGTGTTAAGGACTCACACACACAGAAAGATTGTGCTTCGTCACAATATTGAATCTCTTGGAGCCACATACACATTATCTTAGAATAGCCCTGCATTACATCGTGTACTGTATCCCAGCATTTAATTAGCTAAGCTGGCTTTGGAGTAGCCATGGTACAATGTAATATAGCATTAGTACGGATGTTGAACTTGCTTCGGGACGTGCTTCAGGTCGGGCCGGGCCTTTCCGACTCAGTGAAAATGTAGAAGTTGAAATCTTTTTGGCAAAAAAGTCAAAAAGTAACTTGAGGATGTTTTGTGAAAATATACTTCTCTGCCCTCTGGATATATTGCGAGCAGTATACCGTGAACTCCCCCAAGACTAGTCCAATGTTATTTTCGGTTCATGAATAATCAGTTGTGACAGCATAGAAGACTGTGACATCCAATTTTGGGTGTTTGTGATGCAGACTTACTTTTTGCCGTCCCGTCCGTGTGGACAGAAACTTTACCCCGAAGAAACGTTCGGCTCTGACAGTTCCTCTGTGTGTTTGCAGGACATTCAGGCTGAGATCGATGCCCACAATGACATCTACAAGAGCGTGGACGGGAACAAGTCAAAGATGGTCAAGGCTCTGGGCAGCTCGGAGGAAGCTGTGTTCCTCCAACACAGGCTGGATGACATGAATCAACGCTGGAGCGACCTGAAGGCCAAATCAGCCAACATTAGGTCAGTAAATCCCAAACTTAGAGATAGAAATAGATTTATTTTTCCTCTCTCAAGTGTTTTGGGTCAGGCTGCTTTGCTGCTCTTTTGCTGCTCTTAGAAAAAACCCCATCTCGATTGTGGAAATGGTTCAAGTAGGTCTCATGCTTCAGTTTAGGATTTTAGACAACCAGAGAATTGTAGAAACAAATTCAAAGGAGAAAGTTAGATTCTCAAAAGATAAAGCTCTGAAGAACTGGAACTCTGAATTTCATTAAAACATCAAGTACTTGACCTCCAGGAAATATTTTTCAAAACTGAAACATTTCAAGGATTACTCCTTGAGTCCGAGTCTCTCTCACGTCACCAATACACTGTGCTTAACTCTTTAAGTTAAGCACTCATTATTATACTCATTATTTACTGGACCATGAATTGTTTTTATTCCTGTCCATTGATGGAACATGACTTCGATGTGTTGCATTCATGGAAAAACCACGTGTCCAATTTCCCATGAATCCAAGCTGGAGCACATGAATAAAAAAAAAAAAGACCTGACAGTTCACATAAACTTCTGAGGACACAGACTGCGCTGCGTCAGCCACAACCTTGGCATCAATAAATGTGATTGGTGACGGCTGGCAACGTGGAGGGTGACGGAAATGAAGGTGGAAGTGAAGTTGACAAGGGCCAGATGGAGATGTTCAAGACAAAGTGGAGGAGAAAGGGTGGAGAGCAGCGGCACAGGGGCATGACGGAGCCACAGGGACAAGGTGAAGGGTTAGAGAGAGTAAAGAGAGACTGGGGGAAACAAAATAAAAATAAGTCTGTGCTGAAACTTGTACGGCTTGAGTGGAAAATAATAAATGGGCGTTAGTCAAGGTCAGGCAGTGCAGACAAAATAGGTTGGACGTGTTCCACAGGAAGACAAGTGAGAGAAAACATTGACAGTGAGAGATCATTGTGTGTGTGTGTGTGTTTGTGTGGGTGGTGGGCTGCTCACGATGTTGATTCTATACAGCCCATTATGCCTTAATTGCACTACATGTGTAATTAAGGCTAACTCGGCGAGTGGCAATAGGAGGTCTCTGTGCACAGTGTTCAGATACATTATGCCCCGAGGAGAGCAGGAAAACAAAAGTGCTTATGAACACATATTGCATGCGTGGTACCGCCCACACAATTAGCAGCCGACTGTGTTCGCTTTTAAAAATAACATTTACTCCTGAAGGGCAGCAGCCGCTCTGGAGTGGTCAACAGTGAGGGGTTGGTTGTGATAAAAAACCTTTTGGTTGATTTCCATGAGCTGTATGTTGAATGTAAGGAGCTTCACTTCTGTATAAATCATGTATTAGCTTGCATAGGTGCCCACTGCCCAGGCTATGTAAATCTTTATATTAATGTAAATCTGCATATAATGAAAAGTAAAACGCATGTTGCAGTGATAGTTGAAATTTGCAGACGGTGTAATTATATTTCACCTTGATGCTGTTCATTGTCAGAGCGCATCTGGAGGCGAGTGCCGAGCGCTGGTCTCGTCTGCTGGGCCTCCTGGAGGAGCTGTGGAGGTGGATCTGCACGAAGGACGAGGAGCTGGCCAAGCAGATGCCCATCGGAGGAGACGTGCCCATCTTACTGCAACAGCAGAACCACTGCACGGTATGTACTATGGCCACAGGTAGTGTTTCTGTCACGCTGTAAACGATTCATCACGCCTGGTCTCTCATTGTTCTCATCCAGTATCCGAAAACTTTTTGAGTTTTTTGCATTTTGCCACATGTTTTGCCACAAACTCACAACCTTCACTCAGGAGCAATCTTAAACTTTGAAAAAATAACAATGTGACATTTATCATTGTAATTATCGATATCGACTGTTTGCCCCAAAGTCAAAGGCAACTGGATCATAAAGAATCACTGGAGACTTTTCATAACATGTCTCATGTTCATCCTTTTAAATCCAAAGAACTTGTTTCGCTAATAACTTTACAACGTCTGTGTTCTACTAAAAGTCCTGACACTGGCATTTACAAAAGCAGGAACATTAAACTAAGCCATCGTTCAGTGGGCTATTTAAACCTGAGTGTATATATAATGACAAATACACACTTATCACTCTGGTGATTGCTATCTGCGTAATTAACCATCAGTCTGCTCCCAGACTTTATAATCACAACAGCACTGGCTTACGCTGATATACTGATATATGCCTAGAGGACAAAGAACCTTACAACAGACAAAACATCTTGCACACCCAACCTATAACGCTCCAGACTGTATTTAATAACCCAGACAGCTGATGCACAATATTTTATAACGCTGTTGCACAGTTTCATATTCATTACCCTCCCATGCTGTATTTAGTTACGCAAATGCTGAATAGTTGAAGCCACAAGACGCTGTGACTGTGGAGCAGTCGCTGTAATCGCTGTGACATTATCAAGCATCAGGCTCATCAGCGCTGCGGCTACAGTGCATCAGTTAAACTACACGTCGGAGCAGTCGGGCCTGATCACGGCTTTGTGTTTTATGTATCCGTGGTTAATAATCCACAGTGCTGTTATAGTAGCTCAGTAGTACTCATACACAAGCTTTTTTTTCAGGAGAGAGTTAAGGAGCAAAATCAAAATCACTACTGCACGATCAATACTGTTGTTCCCCCTATTTCATTCTCAGGATTATTGTTATTTATCTGCCTTATACCACACTGTATCATTTATTCTAACAAGCGATCGATAACATCATTGTGCCAACCCATTCATATCTTTGTCACCGCTGCCATTCGTCATCCGTCTTCTCCACTGTATTATTTATTCCAACCACTGGTTATTGTGCGTAATTGCTTTCAGATAGATGACTGGCCCCGCGGCTACTCCCGGTTCTCCCACTGCTGGTGATGTCACTCGTGACATTGTAATGCATTTTTCTGCACCCCTGTTTGCCACGAAAATTATTTCGTTCCCCAAAATGCTGTGAGAGGAGACACATGTTCAATCAGGCGTGGGCGCAGGATCACAGACACACTTAGACAGATCAGTAGACACCCTCAGGCTCACACGCCACACACACACACACATCTTCGTATGACTAAAGCACATCTGTGTGTGCATCGAGAGTGTGACAATTTGTTTCGTAATGTGACTATGTAATCATATATTACATTACATTTTCTCATTTCATTCTGGAGAGGTGATACCAATCAAGACTAATCGAGCAATCGCGCACACAGGCACAATCAGTTCTGAAAGAGCCGAAATGAGATGTGTGCTGGAAAGAGAAGACAAAATGAGAAACTACTGACAAGGGAAGACGAATTCAAAAAATATAGTTGTACAAAAAGTCTATGAAATATATGAATTTTAAACCCCGTCCTAACCCATTTCTTTTGAAGACAGAATATTGAGAGAGATGAATAACTGATTGAGTGTAGTCTTGTAATGATTCAATGTAGAATCATCAGTCAAAAGGAAAACAGATTTTTTTTAAACGTAAGAAAAAGACTTCCCCCCCAAGATCTTAGCTAAAACGTTATTACCGCCACCATGGTGGTTTTTTTGGTGAAATGTTTTTTTCTGCTTTTGTTTACTTGGTCAGCGGCGTTATGGAAAAACTACTCAAACAGTGTGTCCGTCCAGGTTAATCGAAATGTGTCCTCTGAGGTCTGAGATGAGGCTCGCTCTGAGAGCAGAGGCAGGTCTCCAGCCTGCAGATCAGACAGGCTCTCCTAGATTGGGATTTGTGTGCTCACAATACATGCAGCAGAATACAATCTTTCTGCACCTCCACTCTCACTTTCTCTTCAGCCTCTCTCAGCTCCTCTTTCTCATCTGTTCTCTGTGGTGTCCAGCCCCGTGTTGGTCGCCTCAACTCCTTTATTTACACTCCTCTTTTTGCCCCCTTCCTTCTCATTCTACCCTCCCACCATGTCATCTACAGGTCTTAAGAAAGCTAAAATAAGAAATAATGGAACAGGGGAGCGGAATGGGAATGGGTTTTATTTTTCTCTCCACTTCCTTCTCTTCTGTATTCTTAATCGATTGGCCTGGAGGTCTCGCCAACCCTGAGAGTTATGAGGAGGCTGAGCTGCACAAAGAGCCGGGGCTTTGAACACGTCATGCTCCATTACATCCATACTCTACACTCAGAGTTTCCTGCATAGCTCATGCATACGTAGACGCACACTTCTATCACTTGGTGACACACACACGCAGCAGCTGCTCTGTCAGAGAGAAGAAGGGAATATGTGCTGCTATGTTTTGTTTGTATCTATGAGGTAGGGAGGGAATTTTTATCTGGGACTTGGAGAGATAACAGGAAGCAGAAGCCACTTTGTCCAGCAGAGAGAAACAGATATTAAAGAATCACAGGGAAATGCAAAATGAGGAAACTGTGGTCTAAACAACCAGGGAAGAAAGGAATGGACGATAGAATAAGCAGGAAATAGCTCAAATTCAATGAGGAGAAAAGAGTTTAAATGTGGAGGAAATTAGGTCAGCAGATTTAGAAAAGGACAAATATGATGCATCAACTGTTGAATTCCTTTCTGTCCTTTCTGAACGGAGCTATTGACCCATCTAACTTGACTGACTTCTCGCTCCCCCCTCCGTGTATTGATCTGCGTCCCCTTAATTGGCAGTAATAGCGTTTATTAATCGCACATTCACTTATCCAATAAAAAGCCTCCGTCAGCATCCGTCCGATGAAACTCATCAATCTGCTCTATTAAATGAACAGCTTTGAGATAAAGCGAGTGTGAACAGGGGACCCACTGCCTGTGGGCATTTTTAATGACTGTTATCTTTCAGCAACAGTTGGGCTTTTGTCGACAGTGTTAGGACAGTCCAATCAGGTCTGTTCTACAACTCAATTGTGAATAAATATGAAGAACAATAGCTGGATAGAATTGAGTTGACTTGTTTTCTTAGTAGTCTTACGTGGTATACGATTACCCCCTCTAAATTGAGGAGGCTCTAATATTCCACGACAGACCGCATCGTTGTCACTGTGCCTGCATGATTGGTTTGCACCTAAAGGGACAGATCCTAGATGAGAGTTAAATTAAAGTGCTTCACTGGATTCTATCATATCTCTTACAAAGGGAACGTCTCTTCTTGAAGACTGTAATTGCTTTGCTTTGAGTAACCTCTAATTGTTTTCGTGCTACCGTGAAATACTTTTTTTATTTTCATTGTGTCAAGTACATACCTTGCAAGGAAAATACATTATTATCCACCACCGGGGGAACATGACTTCACCTGGGAAATATTACAGCATTAAAACTGCTATAATTAATCTTTTCATATTGAAAATGGCTCAGATGATTAGATGAACCCAACTGCAAATCCTGGATGTCTACGAGGTCATTATTTTGATTGTTTTATTGTCCACAACTTTATTATTCTCATCAGTTTCATTATAGTTGCAGACATTAAGTGTTTCAACAACACATCTCTCAAAACACCATTTAGAGTGAAGCTCTCGAGAGAAAATTAGCCACGTTTTTTGTGTCCGAACCCGACCAGGGTCCATGTTTTCTCCCTGTTAGAGCATGTGCAGCACGTAAAAGCAAGTAGCCCCAGCCAACGTGACCGAACCCAAATCAAAAAATGTATCCACTCTCATGACACCAATTAACCAGCTCCTCGTGGTAACTAGTAGCTGGTGACCACATCGGATCATTTATAGCTAAAGAGCCAGATATTTCCCTCAGGAATTCATTAGGACTAAAAAACACAGGCTGAAAGGAGAGGCACAGTGGACTTGCACTCTACGTGAATGCTAATGTTTCTCCATGTCTGCTGGTGAATGTGCTGTAAATCCACCTTGTCAAATTATGAAGCAATAATATGTCACCGCAGTGTTAACTGTCAATCACCAGATGTGCATCATTACTCTGTTGCCCATGGTAATATAATGTTCAATAATAATAGCCGATTTCATGGTTAAATTCCTGTTCCATTGGGAAAGAAGGATCATATGATTCATATTTATTTTTCATTCCTGCCAGAAGCATCAGAAGAAGCCTCTCTGAAATCCTTGTAAATAATTGCAGCAGCGCAGCAGTGTAAAATAAACATAATACCCAATCCATATTTTAAAGAAAATCATAAAAACAACTGTGTAGACGCAGGATATGTCACTGAAGAAACTTGTGTATACATTATTATTTAACTGTGCTTGCCTATTTTATTAACAGCAAAGCAGTCACATGTTTATTCCTAACACTTATATTGCATATTATATTTACTTATTTTGAAACGGCCGAGGCTGGTGGCAGTGGATCAGTAGAGCGTGTGAGAAAGTACGATTTTAAACAAGCTCCACCTATCACGAGTTTTTACATGAAGCGGATGCTACAGGCAAAGGAGCAGTTACATTTTTAGGCAGAGTCACACGGAGACACCTTCATCAAGTGTGTAGCTGTGAGCAAGAACAAAAATCTAATCTGTTTCTTTTTGTTCAGGCTGTAGGACAAAAAATATTCATATTATTAACTCCACCTATGAGTTTTCATCCATCTGTTTGTTGATTGATTAGTTTGTAAGCAAGATTACAGAAAAAAAACTGAACAGACTTCCACAGAACTTATTTTAGAGTTTATTTTATCTGCCTTTCTGGAGCTTTTTTTATTCACCCTGGAAGAAGACGAGGGTTGTGGTAAAATTGCGAGGATGCTACTGTATCAGGGGGTCGAGAGCAGGAAGAGGGATGTTTGGCAGAGCTCCGAAAGTACTTGTGTTTCGATGTTATCTCATCAGCAAAGAGTACACGGTGATAAGAGTTTGCTGTGCTGTTTTGGCCACACACACAAACTCAGACCTGGACACAAACAATCCCACAGGCACCAAAATACACACACACACACACACACACACACACACACACACACACACACACACACACACACACACACACACAGCCAAGGTCACTCATAGCTTCAAGATGGATGCTGCAAGTGTTGAGGCTTTTCTTCTCCTGGTCTTCACTCATCACAGAAGCCTGGGCCACATTCTGGTGTTCCAATATTGAAACTGAAAACCATTTTTTTTCTTTCACATAGAAACTTACATGGTATGACTCATCATGATCCAGCTCGGATTTGCCTGATTCTTAACCTGAAAGCTGTACATGCGTTTGATACTTACCTCACACGCTCCGTCTGAAAACTGAGTCTCCTGTGTGACACTTTGATAATGTGAGTGTGTTGAGGTTACAAAAAAACTAAACAAAAAAGGACTTGTTTGCATGTTCGGAAAAGGTCTTTGGTGTTGTTAACTGTCTGAACTTCAAGGATACCCAGTGGCTGGCTGACAGGAGGAGCGGCTGTAACACGGGGTATTACTCTGCGCTCGCCATTGTTACAACCTTCTGAGGATTTGTTTGTCTCTTTGGAGGCAGTTAACAATGAAGGGAGGTGTCTGGGGGGGAACTACTGTCGAAAGTTTCAACATTTACTGTGAAAGACAAGTGGTACGGTTACCTAAAGCTGACCGAGGCGTAAAAACATTGAGCACTATAGTTGTTTTTACAAAATCAAGACATCAGCAGATAAAAGCACATTGTGATGTAGACATCTTGCTGGTTTGATGCTGTAAACATTAGTTTCTATTATATTCAGTTCTAAACAGACGTCTCTGATTTATGACCAGGGACGACGGAGCTCCCTACTGCATCTGTGATGAGGAGGAAAGAATTTAAATGTGACGTCACAGAGCTGATATCAGAATGTTTGGAATAAACGACCTCTTCACACTCAGTTCAATCCCGTCGAACGTCTAATTAAAGCCTCCAACACATCTGTACAGAAAGAAAGAAAACCAGAGGAGCTGAATTTTGACTGGTACTTGTTCTCACAGCTATATTTCCCCACCCTCCTCTTATCTCCACTCCCCACACACACACCTCTTCTCCTCTTCCTCAATCACCTCTCATTTAGTTTCTATCTCTCAAGGTCCCCTGTCGGAGCTACCTGCCGATTATCTTTCCTCCTTGTGAGCGAGGAGGAAATCATTGGAACGGAGCAAACCATTTATCAGTGGGGGGGTGATTAAATTTTGTGTTTGGCCGGATGCTCCGTTTTTGGCACAAGGGTGTGTGGGATCTTCATCGCAGAGGTCTCAACTTTACTTGTCGAGGAAGTTGCTCCCAGAAATTAGCTTTTTTTTTTTTCAATTTAGAACTAAGAATGGTTCGTACGTCTCAAGGTTGACTCTCCCCATCCTTCCCTTCCCCCTACTCCCTCGCGTTTTCCCCATCTCTTCTCAGCCCTTCAAATGATTCTGTATATACGATCCCACTGAACTCAGCATGTTGTCATTTGGTGCTCAGTCAGTCAATGTAGTGTGCACCACTAAAAAAATGAATTTTCACCCCCCAGGTCTGTTCAATGAGTCTGTTAAGTGAGTCGTCCCATCTCATCACAAAGAAATCACACACTCGGATGGGCAGCGCAGTCCCCCGGGGGTCACACTTATATTAAAACAAGAATAATTATCCTCTTACATGACGCGCTCGCTCCCTCTATCTCGTCTTTATGACCTGCTGAGAGCTGTGGCAAAGCTGAGTCGTCAACAAAAGAGTGTCCATCAAACTACTTTGTGAAGTTTTATCAGTTCTGCTGTACTGTGTGTGTGTGTGTGTGTGTGTGNTGTGTGTGTGTGTGTGTGTGTGTGTTGTCTAAGAAGAGGAACTGGTGGTATTGCTCGCCGCCTCTGTAATGATCATTTCTGCAGGGTTATAGCTCCCAGCAACTCACTTCTATTCGGCGGGTCGCTCAGCTAATTTCACATCGACCCTGAGGAAGTAACCCACTTTGACCCCAGATTCTCGCCTTCAATCGCTGCTCTGTTGTGAGTGCTCCCTTTTCCACCATCGCTCCTCACATAGCTGCTCTCTCTCTCTTCCTCCATTTCTGTTTCACCTCTTGCTTTTCCTTTTAATAAAGGAAGACTGGGCAGGGAGAAGTGTTTTGTTATGTGGTAATCACCTAATTAGCCGTTGAGAGTGTTGTTTATCTCCTCCATAAGCTGCGTGTCAACATCCGCAATTGTTCTTGTGTAGACTGTGTACATTCTCAGCGCGTGAGTTAATCATAGGAGCCCTCTGTGGTATTTTGACAGTCGCAGATGATCGAAGCAGAACTCGTTGATTGGTAGTTAATTTTGTCTTGAGGGAACAAACCCTCAGATTTAAAATACTCTGAGTTCACTGGTGAGATTAGGAGAGAAGAGTCAAACATGCACGTATCTGCAGAGGAGATGCTTTTGTTACCTCATTCTCAAATACTTTGTGAGAGCTAAAGCTTACAAATGCTTTCACTCTAAATAGCATGTTCTTTTTTAAAGGAGACATATTTAAGCTATATTCAGATTCATAGTTTCAATTTGGGTTGTTGGTTGAACAGGTTTACTTGATCTAATCTTTAGAAAACACATCACTCTCCTCAAACTGTCCACTGCTGCAGCTCCTCTTTGTCATGACGTGTTTCAGGAGCAGTGTTTCTGTGAGAGAGTCGAGCCTCCAACTCTGCAGACGTTTTACATTCCCACACAACACACTAGAGGAAAGAAACACTAAAAAGACATAAGTCTCCTTTCAATGGACAATCTTTACGACTTTGGGTTAAGTTTCATTCTAACCACTTCCTTCCAAGGGAGCAGTGATTTCATGTATTCCAGTCTCCTTTAACCCCTGTTCTGTTTTTCATACTGCAGGTGATCCGGGCAGAGCTAAAGGAGCGTGAGCACTTGGTAAACAGTACTTTGGACCAGGCCAGGATGTTTCTTGCTGACCAGCCGATTGAGGGTCCTGGAGAGCCACGCAAGAACCTGCAGCCAAAGACGGGTATGTCTTCTCTCTCATAGTACCAGTTATATTTGCTGCACGCTAGAGGATTTAAAATTTTTAACTCGTTTTCTAAATGAAGGACACCACAGACACAGAGGGAACCAATTTTTAAACCTTTAATATTGATAACACACTCTAGATGATCCAGTTGAAAGGCAGGACCACACTCTCTGAGTTGCGATTCCAGAGACTTGGGAATTCACTTGCGTGATCAAATAAAACCGGCAGTTCAATCTCATTGGTTATTGCAGGTTTAAGATCAATCTCCCAATGCCTGTTCCTCTCATGCTACAGAAGAATCCAAGATTTCGAAATCATGAAGGATTGGATTTAATCTGTGATGCGGCAGTTTCTGCTTTGTCAGCTTCCTTATCATGACAATTTCTATCAAAATCTGAAGTTTGATTGAGCGTCAAGTGGTTTGATCTTGCAGCCATGCAGCAAGTCTCCTAATATCAAGTCAAACGCTCAGACAGTCTCTGTCTTCATTCTCTTCTGGACATCATCACTTCATCTTTACGTACCACAAACACTTCATCTGAGTTCTATGGTGTGATTCTTTTTTTAAGGGCACTATATTCAGCATAGATTTCACACTCTGAATCCAGACACTGAAATAAAACAGCATGCAGGTAAAAATAGTGTTCTACATATTGAATAGAACCACAAGAGAGATATGACCTCCTTCCAGTTCTATAATGTGAAACGCTTCTGTCACTAGGTGTCACATCTACACGAAGACAAAACTGTGATGATCGTGTTTGCAGGTATTTTATGCGTTTATTGGATGAGACACAGTTGAGAGCTGCCGGGAAATGAGAATTGAAAAGGGGGCGAAGCCGCGCATCAAAGATCCTCGGCTTTCCACTAATATCTGAGTGGGTGGCAATACCAACATATAACGTGGAATCCAAGAATCAAATATGCATCAACTCATTCAGCATTTCCTCGGTTTATCTGTTGTATGCGGCAGCAGAAGTCTCAGTTAAGTCAGCGCATTTCCCTTTCAACCGAATCCCTACTGTGTAAATAATTAAACCAAGCCAAGGGGCTGTGTAGAGGTGTGGTGAGACTTCAGAGCGTGGACCGATCGGCTTGTTGTGTGTGATCTTTCGTAAGGATATCAAAGCGTTGTCTCGGTGTATTAATAGATAAAAAGCTGATATAGGATCAGAGGCTGCGTTCATCGTGTAATCAGAGGAGACGGGATTTTTTAGAGTGACACTGTGTTAAAAGTCTTAACCATGTTAATTGTCCTATATTCACTCTCTTAGTTTTATTCCTTTTTTTTTTTTAAAATGCTACTAAAGCGATTTTTGTTTTATTTTTATTTGTCACCCACAATTTGTATTATATGTATCTGCATGTGGTGTTCGTCACAGACCTGTGTTCATGAATGGGGAGGGCTGGAGAAAATAGGGCAAAAGAGACATTGCAGGGGTGCAACAGGTGAAGATGTTAATTCATTCATTACCCTGGAGATATGAGGGAAAGCTGCTCTTGTTTCTTTGTAGTTGAAATGGGTAGTTGGAGAGCAGTTTTCTCATTTGCAGACTCCTTCGGCTCCTCTTTGTCCGCATGCTCCTGAAATATAAATGACTTTCTAATTGAGTGAGTGAAGGAGAGAATTGAATTTTGTGGAAACTTTGCTTCTCTCGTCTCTCATTTGCAGCTCGCCTATGAAAAGGTACATATAGTGTTTGAGGTTATGAAATAAAATGAGCCTTTAGGCTGAAAGGATTTGAATGGATTTGATGAGGACACAGGAACCGGTATATAGAAGAATAAAGAGCAAGAAAACTGTGTTTGTTAACAAGAAAACTTACTTCTCTGTTAACCTGTCTGTTTACTCTGATGTCTTCCTCCAGACCTCACCCCAGAGGAGAAGGCCCGGGGGTTGGCTCGGGCCATCCGCAAGCAGACAGGCGAGGTGAGGGAGCGGTGGGAGCGTCTCAAAGGACACGTGGGTGGCTGGCACAGTCAAGTGGAGCGAGCGTTGGAGCGACTCCAGGAGCTGCAGAGCTCCATGGACCAGCTCGACCTGCGGCTGACTCAGGCGGAGGAGGCCAAAGCTACCTGGCAGCCTGTGGGGGATCTGCTGATCGACTCACTGCAGGACCACATCGACAAGACCATGGTGAGTCACGGTGTTCTGTGTGTGTGTGTCCCTAAAGTAAAACAGGAATTAGACAACTCACTCCTCTTCCCCTCTTTCCCTCAGTGTCCTTTAACTTTAACATTGAAAATCTTTCACTGAGAATTGTTGGCATTGATCTCGTAAATTATAGATTTAACTGCAGTTTGATCGAGTAAAATGTAAGAATCCGACCGCACGTACATGAAGTGCAATAATGTGAGTGAGCCTCGGATGCGAAATCTCATACGATTTCAATGCTCGACTAAAAAGCACTTAATTTGCTGATGTAGACTGTTTGACAGACTGTCTTGTTTGTTTGCAAATGCTTTTCAATTAAATTTGAGGAGACCTGTCCAAGAAATAGGCAACACATCCAGTTAACAAGCAGCAGAATGACAGCATCTCCTAATAAACAGTAAACAATGAATGAAGGAGCGACAAAGGAGAAATCTATAGTTAGTCATGGTTCAAGGGTTGCATGAGGAAAGACAACTGCTGCGTTAATTTAGCTGTCTGTTACGCCACCTCATCTTAATGATTGTCTCCGTGTGCTATGGACAGACCAATTATATCACTTCATATACATGTCATGTCACTGTCTTACAATATATGAGATTACAACCAAAGAGAATAGCAATGAAGTTTATACTGTAAATGCAAATTATAGTACAACAAGAGAGTTATTGTGAGATCAACGCAGGGAACGAGAAAGAGTTCAATTAAAGCAGAGGAAATACAACTTTCTTTCTAACATGTTATTCATTGTAAAAGTATTAGGGCCACTTAAAGGGGAAATATTAAGTAACGCCTGCGTTAAATTGAGGAATGTGGAGCATCTTGTCAAGTAATGCTTTAGTTTAAGTTTTACAAATAACAAAATATTCATCTTTTTGCTCCTAAGCACCACGTTATCGTGAGTAATAGGACAAGAAATTGTGTCTATCCTGAAGAAAGAACCACAGACTATGAGAAAATGTATTTTGTGGAGGAGGAAATGTTTGGTGAAGGTCGATTATAAGACTTGGTTACATCTTAGTGTTATTCAAAGGGGTTCAAGATACAATAAGCGTGGTAATTGAGAATTTGGATCCAGACAGAGTCTAACTTTACTCTCAATTTATTATGACTTTTTCCTCATTAAATTACCACAACTTTATATTTGTAATATTATGACTTTATTCTCATAATATGATATTATTCTCAAAGTCTACTAAAAACACAAATGTCATGACTATAAGACGTATTGTATTATAAGATGGTTACAGTATATGTCATTAACATTGCAAATATTTAAAATGTTCTGTCCAGGCCTTCAGAGAGGAGGTGGCCCCCTTATGTCAGGACGTCAGACTGGTCAATGAGCTCTCTGCAGAGCTGACCCCACTGGACATCCAGCTGTCCTCCACCGCCTCCAGACAACTGGACCAGCTCAACATGAGATGGAAACTGCTGCAGGTATTCTAATAATCCTCCTGAATCATCTGCGGATGTTGAAGCCAACGTGATATTTTCCCACAAACTCCTTTGTTGCCAGGCCTCTTTTCCCTCCTTCAGTATTTTGTCCACACTTGTCAAATTAATGCTGTCTTCAATATATGTTGATCCTCTGTTCCCTCATTCTCCGCCTGCCTGTGTGTTTTCATCTCCTCTTTGTGTCTTTGTCTGAGTCTCCGTCGTTTTTTTCTCGTCTTGTGCATGCTGATTTTACTTTGTGTCAGCCAAACACACTGGGGACTGAGAGTTGTTCCTCCTCTTGTGTACCTGTTTTATTTGAACACAGCTCTGTGCTCGGCGCGACACTTTGTCACTACACATCAATGGACACTATTCTCACAGCGCACCAGTCACATTCTTGGCTCTCGACGTGCTCGAATGTCTCGGTCTGATCCGCTGAGGGACTTTCTCCGAGCAAAGCGCGTCTCAGTCCTAGAGCGAAAGTTGTGGAAAAGTATTTTTACAAGTCACCAGAGGGAGAGAGAAGAGACTCTGTGTTGGCTATAAAATAGGGAGTACAAAAGTTGAGCAAAGTGCACATTTAAACCATTAAGTTGTGAAGAAATCTTTCAAACCCATTACTGTCAAAGAAGACCAACTGTCCTGTTTTACGTTTTTACACTGTATTCTCAGCCTCTGGTAAAAGTTCTAATGAAACAGAGCTTCCATTTATTCCACATATTTATGTCAGTCCAGTAAAATCACAAAGTTATGGAGGGAATTGTTTCGGATGTTCATTGACATTTGCAGTAGCCTGTAGCGTTTTAAGTGCTTTACACCCCCGTGCCAGATTTGACAGAAGCAAACAGCCCAACAAGGACAGCCGTGACGACAGCCGGCTCTCTACTGTCGACGACTTCCCGCCACCGCGTTTTCCTACGCCTGAATGGGACAGGGATGAAACTGAGAAAGATGACAACCATGATTGAATCGTTTTTTGGAGTAAGGCGGTTTGCGTTCGAGCCAAGATCCGAAGCCCGTAGTGCCTTTTCATTGGATGCAAAATAAATAAACGCCCCAGTGTGCAGGATGAGACATCAAACTATTAAACTGTTTTACAGGAAAAGAAAATATTGACATGATAACCATGGATAAATGAACAGACAAGGATTTTATTCAATGGAGACTTTAAAACTGAGGCTATTTAAACATCAGTGGTGCTTTCTCCTCCGTCCCTCTGGTCAGAAACAGAGTTAATCAATTGTGAATCAGATCATGTCCATAAATAGACTGTGCTTTCAAAGACATGGAAACTTGGATTTTGATGGACTTCATGTGACGGTTTATTGTATGTGACCACGCATCATCGTTGCTGTAGATAAATGAGCTGAGTACGTGGGCAGAAAAAAAGGCTTGTGGGCAGAAACATGAAATCTTAGACAGAAACCGAAAGCCATCCCTTTGAAAGCAGGACACTGCCGCGCAGTGAAACTGGGTAGCCGGGCTAATTTGTAGCCGTGTGATACTTCCCATGTCGGGGACAGACACACTCTAATAGTCTTTCTGCCTGGAGAATGACCATAACTCAAACACAGAGTCAGAGCAGAGTCTCTTACTTTAAGTTTGCAGGAAGGGACAAAGATTTGCTAATAAACCAGGTCTGACTGTGCAGCCGGACAATTTGGTTTTCATGTATATTCAGCTCTCATCTTCCTCTCGGTGGGACAGTGACCATAACAACCATTAGTGGCCACAAAGAGTCCAAGCTAACGGCCTTTCTGTGCCAATGTTTCAGGTTCCCCGTGTGGGCAGCTGTGTAGTGGCTGTCATAATACCTGAGGGGCGTGTGCATGTGTGTGTCTGTTTGTGTCAGTACTACAGACTGCCAATATTGTTCTGCTACTCAGACTGATGAAGCAAAACAATCCCACAGCCGTTCAGGGCACAGGTGCTGGCTGAGAGGTCAATACACAGCTTGCACAGGAGAGCAGCAGGGTGTGTGTGTGCGTGTGCATGTGTGTTCGCGTGTGTGAGAGAGAAATGCCCTGCAGGTTTATAATTATACAGATAATGCAGAGTTTATAAGGAAAAAACATTGTTTTGATCATATTACTTGAATGCGACGACATGAGGTGCGACATAATCCCAACATTATTCAGGTTCATGGTCTGTGTGTCAGTGCCAACATTTCTTGACTCCTCCATCTCTCGCTCTGTCAGTTCTGAAATCCTTCAACAGCAGAGGAGGAACTTGGTCTGGGTGTGACTGTATTTACCAACAGCCTGGTTTTAGCCTCTTTACTCATCACTAGTGATGGAAGATGACAGTGCAGTTAACCCCTCAGATTCTCAAAGTCAGACTCTTGGCGCATGGGTCACGCTAGATTTAGGAGCGGGGCTGTTGCTGAACGTCCTGCTTTCTATTCTGGGCCCATGTTATAAGGTAAGAGGGGTCACACCTTTCTTGTGTGAGACGCGTTCGACTTTTACAGGGTTGGGGTCTCACCTATATTCTCTGAACATAGTTCTTCAAAGCAAAAAATTATCTTTCCCCACAGTTTCAATGTTAATCTGTCAAATATGTGGTTTCTTTAGACTAAATCCATTCACCTATGCTAGAGGTACCTTTTTTTAAAAAAGGTGCGCGCTTTCCTTTGGATTTTTACGGGGCACAAACTAAGAGGAGACCCAGGGGTAGACCTAGAACTTGCTAGAGGGATTACAAATCCCATCTGGCCTGGGAATCCCCATGGATCGCCCATGAGGTACTGGAAGGCGTCACTGGGGAGAGGGATGTCTGCAACACCCTGTAAACAAATGGATGGTTGGATAAATGGAAATGTAACTCTTACCTTTCATGATGAAGTCCTCTCACAGTCCACTGTCTTCTCTCCTCTCTGTCTGGTTTTCGTGCAGGTGGCGGTTGAGGATAGGCTGAAGCAACTTCAGGAAGCCCACCGAGACTTTGGCCCCTCCTCCCAACATTTCCTCTCCAGTAAGTACAGAGCCATTCACCCTCTCTTAGGAAAGTATTAGATTTTGGAAAGGACCTGATTCGTTTCCACTATTTCAGATCCCTGTGTGTTTTCATGTCCTATCGTCTCATCTTCAGATGTAATACGCTTCACTGTCATGCACGCTCACTGGATGTGTGGGTGCCTGCGGACACAGTTTGCAGACGAGGCACTTTTCTCTTGAATAATGCAAGGTTTAATTACAGCTCTCCGTTGGCTCTCTCCTCTTTCTCCCTCTTCAGAGTGGTCATTAGCAGAGAGTGGGTTAGACACAAAGATCGAGAGAAAAGACAAATGCACGATTGTGAACATTTAACAAAGAAGCCGGTCTCTCGCTCTCTGTGTCTCTCTCTCTCTCTCTCTCTCTCTCTCTCTCTCGTGTAATTTTCCATAATGATCCGGCCATTATTGTTCTCTCTGCTCCACCTGATTTGTTATGTCTAAGAACCGGCGACAGCCAGTGGCCGAAGGCATTTTGTCTTCAGGTTGTCCGTGTGTCCGCATGTCTGTCAGCCAAAGTTCAAGGTCACGGTGGCCTCACAAAGTTCTTTGTTTGTTCTTGTAAGTGATATCTTAAGATCAGCTTTAGGGAACGTCATCAAATTTTGTAAAAAGGTTCACTGGGCCTAAGAGATTAAATGATTTTAGATGTTTTCATGGTCGAAAGTCAAAAAGTCAAGCTCACATGACTTTGCGCTGTTTTGAACGCAATATATCAGGAATGCCCAAAGAGAATCTCATCACATGTGGTACAAACATTCACATTTTGGTCAAAGGTCAAGGTCACAAAGCAGGTGTTTTGCCTTGACAATGTGATATCTCTGGAACTACTTGAGGGACAAATATTTACTGGAACCTAATTTTGGTAGCCAAAGATCAAGTTGTGGTGGCCTCACAAAGCATGTTTATGTTTCACTTGAACATGAAATCTGAAGATCGGCAACAAATTACTTGGTCTAGAAGATGACCTGCTTAAATTTTGTTGCCCAGAGTTCACAGGTCAAGGTCACAGTGACCTCATACGAATCTAGAAAAAAGAGAAATATGCATAGAGAAACTGTAGTGGTTGGTGGTAATTGTAGTTTTCCTGGCTGTCACATGCGGAGATAAGATGGACGGCGTGCGATGCCCTGAGCAGGTGGCGAGCTCAATCATGTGCTGTGTCACCACCAGACGGGTGGTGAATTTACTAAGTGAGCCCAGCTGAGAGCTCGGCAACGACTCTAGACAAAACACCACTCTGTCTCTTCTTTCATCTTCCTGGCTCTATGTGACACTATCTACTCTATCACACATTCGCTCTCATTACACTAGTAGCTTAATATTCCCTCCGGGATCAATAAAGTACTGTGCTCTTATCTTGTCCTATCCATCTCGTATATCTTCCAATCTTGCTTAATCTTTCTCTTACTGTCTTTTCATCTCTCTATCTGAGCGTAGAGCTGTGTCAAGGAGGAGGGGAAGTGGGAGGGCGATAAATCAAGCAACATTTCTGCTCCGTATTGCTCTTGAGAGCTTCTGAAGTCTTGGATTCATCTGTTTTTAACACTATCATTCATTTCTTACATCACCTTGGTGTGTCAGTATTTATTATTATTTGAAATCCATGCACATGGTGGCTTTTGTCAACAGATTTTTTCCTTTCATGCATCAGTGTCTCTCTCTTCACTCTTTCATCTAAGACAATGCTCCTTTAATTGTGTTTCCCCCACTTGTTAATGGTAAAGTCATTTGTTGTGAGAATTATTTCTAGTCAGGCTTGAATGCTAAACCTCATGGTTAAATTGTGCATAATTAAGATGCTGTTTTCCTCTTATTGTCTCTCTTTCTTGCAGCTTCCGTACAGCTCCCCTGGCAACGAGCGGTTTCCCAGAATAAGGTTCCATATTACATCAAGTAAGTGATGAGAAACGACTACAATAGCCCCGTTTGTGTCTGTGGAAATGCCATTCATATGTGTGTGCATGTGTGTTAGTGTTTGTCAATCATTATTATTATCTTTTTTTGGCTGGACTCTCCCTGCAGAGGGTCAAAGCAGCCATTTGTTATCCAGACAGCAGCTGTGCACTGTGTGATGGATAAAAGCTGCTTTTCTAGACATTAACTCAGAGGAGCTGTATATGTGAACCAGAGTGAGGCTCGAGTCGCATTTTTCCAACCTGTCCGAGCCCTAAAGAAAAACTAAGCTGAACCCGAATCCGACTAAAGCTGCACCGAGTTTGTGTGCCCCTGTCCCCGATTACAGACGTTTGAAGCACAAAAGCTTCATCTCTGATATTAATGATTTCCAGTTTGTTTTTCAAGTGACTCTTTACTACAATCCACTCTGCCTGTAGCCATTCATCACAAGCTGCATTTCTCATTTCAAACTAATCATTTTTGACGACAATGTAGAGGTCTGACAGGGTCAAATTATTCTAAACTCAAAGAAATGACTAGAGTTTAAAAAGTGAATAATATGCATGATATGATAAATTATATGCAACTGACTCATGAGTCATTTATGGGCCATGACCTGTACCTATAGGTCTGGCAAGAAATTAAACATAATCTTATTGTACTGCGTTGTCAGATCGTCAAACTTTGTGTTTGCTTTTCCGTTTGTTCCTCCTCGTATGTGGTCAGTACTGTGCAAATGAAGTTGAATTTTTTTTTTTTGAATTCAGTTGTGTTTGTAGTTTGCTTTTCATCTCAAACATTTTTCTGTTGGTAACACTTCACCTATTTTTAACCTTTCCACATCACAGCTCTGACTCCAGTGACCTCTCATATACGTCACCCTCTAATGTTCAAATAGAAGCTGTAGTTTCAAGTATATTCCTCTTACATTCATCAAATATTTAACTCCCACCTCTACTCTTTCTACTGATCTGCTCCTCAGTGTATATTAAAATTCAAACTTTTCCACCTGCACATTTCTCATTCAGTCCAACATCAGCCCCTTCTTTTGATATTGAATATACTAGTACCTGTCTGAATCCACTGTGGACATCTTCCCACGCTGTTCTATCAGTCACTATAACAACCAGGCCAAACAGCAGGTTTTTATTTAAACCAGCAAAGAGATGTTGGTAGGAACTATGACACCTTCTGTGCTCCTTAGGATTTGTCAGTTTTTGAAAGTTTTTAAAAGTTTCACCTCATTATCTGGAAATCATGTAACTTCTGTCAGCGAACTGCTGACTAACCAGACCTGACTTCACCCTTGTGGTTAGAGAAATCTTTGGAAGGCAGTTTCAGTGATCATTTGTCACTGGTGCTTTCTTTGTCTCTCTCTATCATCTCTGCTGGGACACTGTTACAGCCTTAACTTTGTGGTTGACAGTGGTAAAGTGTGTGTATTTTTAAGGCTGATGCCTTTAAATGGCCCTTCGCCCTGAGTTGAAATGTCAGTGGATCAGTTAAATTGTAAAATGGTCATTTTTTTAAAATGAGGCCAGTCTCCACAGAGTAATCCACAATTATAGTTTCAGCTATGAAGATTTAAGTCTTGTCTCCGTGATAGGTTGACTGTCTTCACAATGTGTGATACCATTTTTTGAAATAGTCGTATTTTAAACTTGTCGAGAAACATTTTATGAATCATAAACCTAAAAATCTTAAAAATACAACATTATTTGACCACTGCTGTAATTTTACCATTGACCTCCACATATGGATTTTCCATTTTTCTGATTTCAAATTAGTAGTCTTATTTTGTCGAGCTGCACACAGTGTATTGATTCTTTCAGCCCCACCTGCCGCCTCTTTCTATTTATTTCTTCCTCCCTCACACATTTTACTTAAGATAAATAGACAAGAATGTACTCATTACCACAAAAAAAGTTAAAGTGCAACCTAACTTTTCTACACAAGTAAAAGTAAATAAATATCTGTCAGCAGTAGCTTTCTCCAAATCAATTCCAGGTTTCATGTAATGCAATGTAGTGGAGTATAAAGTACAGATATTTGCTGATATACAGTATGTTGTGGATTAAATGTGAAAAGTAACAGAAAATAACTCTCCCACCATTGTTGACGAGGGACGTCATTATTTTCATATAGTGCAGGAAGTGAGATCTGATCCGCAGGTGTGAACTAACTCACCCTCACACTGGCTGGTAACACTGACACACACTCAAAGAAGTGCGAACCTATTTACACAGACTCATTCTGGGCACATGTCATATGTTGTGTTGATGCCTTTATGATGGTCAGACCTTTTCTCCCCATGGTGGCTCTCACATCATCACGTTACTGCCTCTCCAATACAGGAGGAATCAATTTTCCTTCAACTTCATCCACAGTTCGGTGTTTCTCTCATTCTTAAATGAAAGTAGTTTGCTGTACCCTGGCCTCTCTAATCTTCCTCCACACACACACACACACACACACTTAATTTGCAGCCTGAAAACTGAGCTATAAATCCATCTCTAATCGCAGGTCACATTCAGCACTGTGACATCCTTGGAACACCCGCATCAGTCTTTGACACATTCATTTCCACAAACCCCCTCCTCGTCTCTTTTTTCCATCTCCTCTAAAATTCTCCGGCTTTTCTTCGGGCTGACAAAGGGCCCCTGATTAAACCTGCACCTTATCCAGCCCCTGCAGTGAGGAATTCAGGCGACACGCAAGTTACAGCAGCAGCCTCATGCTGGCTGCATCGCATGCTGTCCCATTTCGCCCCATTCTGGCAATTGAGCGGGTCTTGAGGGCCTTCTGAGCGGAAATATAGCAAGACTGCATCTCTGCAAAGATCAGGGGCAATCTCCTCTTCATTCCAAGGCTGTTCTGGGTTGCAATGTTTTTGTCAGGAAACAGTTGGTGCTGGTAAGTCATGTGTGTGGTTGGGTGTTCCTATAGCAGAGCTGACAGCCTTCATATACATCAATGGACAATGTGTATACCTTCCTCAACGTGTCACATTGAAGAAGTTTTAAAAAACCCTGCAAGCTGTTTGAACTGTCTTTCAAAAGCAGAAATCTTGAAGGAGGACGTGGGTGAATGCCATCCCCTTTAAACTCAAATGAAAGAAACATACCCTTTAATCAACCTGTCAATTTTGCCATCCCCCAGTAAGAGAGAGAGCTACATGTGCGGATAGAGAATTTGTGTGGCATCGAAAAAGAACATCCTTCCTCTCGCTCCCACACAAAAAACGTTCTGTCACAGTCAGAATAGCAATCAGCAGGACCGGGGGGGAATCCTACCCAAGATGGTGTCGTCCTCCAAACCAGTTCATGTGGAAAAACTCTCCCAAGTGATTTTCACAAAAAGTTTGGTTAAAATCCAGAGATGCGTTGTTGCATCTGGACCATTGGGAGCTTCCTCCCTATTAGTATTCTGATGACTGTGATGAGGGAGTGCTTTAATTCTTTAAAGAGTAACTAAGAGGCAGAGGAGAAGTAAAAGCCTGAAAAAGCAGAAGTCAGGTGGTGAACTCAGACTCATATCACCTGCCACAGACACTTTGTGAGTGGTCTGGCAGGTTGCTGTCACAGAAAGAAAAACCTTCTTAAATCTTCTCCTTGCTCGGTCAGATATTTGACTAATTTTGCCTCTTTTGATATCCAGATATATTCCTAATCATTCTTCTGCACACTCATTAACATTCATGGCCGCCTCTGAGTGTTTGACAATGACAAACTCCCAGCAGCAAAGAGAAGTGTTGTGCAGAAGTGTTGGCTGGTCTGCAGCCAACTGTTAGATGGGATAAAATCACCCCCCTCTGCCCAGGATGGGATGGATGTATCCAAGAGGAAGTCTGTCGCTGCCGTTTGTTGGAGTGACAGGAAGACAAATACAGGCACTCGTAGAGGGAGAATATGTTTTTTCCTAAAATATGATGAAGCAGAGAAAAGAAAAAAAAAAAACACTTTAACCTTCCGTTGGACTGCAACACAGCAAAAGTCACAGAATGTAGTAAATATTTTTGATATGCTTAATTTCTATCATGGTGGGTAGTGTTTGTTGGTGAAGTGTAAGGTGAGTTGGCTCACATCCTCTGGTTCAATGCTCAGAAAGAAATCTCATAAAAACATCTTGTAAAAGGTTATTTTCTCCCTCGCGGTGCCTCAGCGGCTACATAAATTTCATCTTTTCCCGTCTGGCGCAGTATCCCCTCCCCCGACCCTATTTCATGTGTTGATTCTCACTCTCGATTTCATTAAATGATGTTTATGAAGGAAAATGTCACATGTCTTTTATAAGACTCGAGCGGGTTCTTCTCCTGACGCTCTGGTTTCACAGTTGGTGACATCGTGAATTACTAGGAAACTGTTTCGTTCACAAGGTATTTGAATTACCATGTGTTTATTTTCACTTTATTAGAATATTATTATAAGATGGATCCATTGGTATCATGTTTATATCAGAAATTAAGTTATTTGCTGGCCATCTAGAGGTCCCAGAACTCAGAACATCACTGTCAAATCCAAATGTTATTCAATAACAATGATACAAGACAGGAAAACAACTGTGATTAGGATAAAAACATGGATGTATAAAATGTGAAAATGCCCTGAACCTAGAAGCAATCAAATCTTTTGTTGGTTGATTAATAAAATGTATTTCACCCTCGTGTCCTGTGTCTGAGAAGGTTTGATGGTCAGCTTTAACATCTAACCTGTTTGGTCCAGTTCAAAGAAACCCTGGTGTGTTTGACCTTTGATTCTCTACAATACAGGCTGGTTTTAAAGCTGTCAATCCAACTCTGGTGTGTGGACTAAACAATCAGAACAAGACGATTTGAAAAGAGGGTTTGTGTCCAATTCCAAATGCTTGTGCCCCAGATTTTGAGTAGATATCTGATTTCCACATGAATTTAAAAGCTCAACTATTATCAAATGAATCTGGTTGTGCTGTTATGAAATGAGTGATTTACATAATTCATCGTCTAATTGTTTCTGAAATCAAAGCACAGATCAAGATCAGCAATTAGATGTTTTTAGAGGAATCAGAAATCTTCTGAATCTGAATTTCAGACTCATCAAACACACTGGCACATGGCATTTCTACAGTGGAGATCAGATATTGTCTGCAAACTTTCGTCCCAACACGGTTGCAGAAGTTTCTCTCCGCTTTCATCTTGTGTCCAGTTCGTCTCAAACCAGCTCTGTGAGGTTTAGATGTGCAGACTGAGCTGCTCCTCCATCATTAGAAGCCTCTCTCTGGTTTTCCAACACTGTGTTTGTAAGACACCAACTAAAGTTTGAACTTTATGAACTTCCAAGGCTTTAATGCTTTCCATGCTTTATTTGAAAAGCTTAAACTGATAGAAATCAGTCTTAAATACCGGTGTGCACACAAATCTAATTAGAGGTGTGACTGGAGCCAAACTGATTTATCGGATATGAGCTTTTCACAGACAGTATCAGAGTTTATGTTTGATGATATGCACCATCATGAAATCTTCTATTTCACAGAACAAGCGATGCAGAAAACATATATATAAACATGTATGTTGACAGCAGTAAAATATCAAACCTCATTTTCATTTCTTTATCAAAAGGGAGGACTTCACTTTAACTTTAGGACATGGCCAGGAGTTAGTTTTCTTGTGGTCATGTAATATTTTTTCTATCAATGTCACCAGGGGGCTCCGTAATCCGGAGATATATTAGTATTAGTCAAAAGTCCATATCAACCTTGGGTTTGAAATCCCTCACGCTGTGCTGAGTTCCACTGAGATACCATAGAGTCTTATTTTCTTTCCTTCTGCCCCATCGCAGTCTCTGACGTCTCTCCCCTCACAGTTTGTGTGTTATCTGAACTGTTCAGCTTTGTATTTTATGCGTCATCACTTTGTTTGGGTTTTTTTTTTGTTGCTCCTCTGGGACAACAAAAGACTTGTCGTGGCATTACAAAGGGAACACGTGGAGGGAAAGGCGTTGAGGAGAGTTGAACCTGACAACACAGTTGTCTTCATTATGGAATTCATGAGCTACTGATATAAGCACAAGCTGTCTAATCCTTTTGATTGAAATGCTACCTGCCTTTGTGCTGTGTGTACAGAGACATGGTGCAGATTGTTGTTGCGATGGGAGCTGCTTGTGTGTCCTATCTTTGAACTCACTTTATCTTATCTGGAATGGAACCTTCTTCTATGAATGACAATGGCGTTATGTGGCGATAACTGTCAGACAATTCTTCCAGTTGTGCCTTTGTGTGCTGCAAATATCAGCAAATCCCCCGACCTGGATTCATTTTAACCTTTCGGGTTTTCAGGCGAGCTCTTTGTGGTCAGTTTAAATAAAACACCAACCTGTCCACTGAACAGAGAGGTCCGGGCATCAGCGATGCCTGTGCAGGTGTGAACAAGGGTCACGAAGCCATTAAAAAGTCATGAACATCTGCGGACGAGACGAGTGGGGCAGCCGTCCCCGTCCAGTTTGCCACCTCGGTTTACTGTCAGCTCCTGACTTCCCCTCCTGTTGGCTGCCAGCAGAGAGCGAGCCGTCGCTGGAACCACAGGGGAGCCTCTGAATTCAGGAAAAAAAAAAGAAATCCTTTCTCCTCCATAGCGCACAGATCTGAGTGCAGCTTCTGACAGCTAAGGTGGCTTCTTAAAATACACACAGAGCCACACCACGGCCAGCAGAGCTCAAATAGTCACGTTGATTGGCAGCTGCAGCTTGAGAGAATTATGTTTTTGTGACCCTGTGTGTGAAGACGACCATGATAGATCAGTATTAGAACAAGTTTTATTTTATGTGTTTTTTAGAAGATTTGGTTTTTGTTGTTGTTTTGAGTGTGTGTGTGTGTGTGTGTGTGTGTGTGTGTGTGTGTGTGTGAGGCTTCTCTCTGTAGTACAAATGTAAACAGGGAGTTGAGACTCAGTCCCTTTATGTGAGAAGACAGACGCTGTGATGATGAGAGCGATGTGTCTATTTGTGCGTCGGTTTGTGTGTGTGTGTGTCTTTTCTTGCCGTTCCTTTCAGAGGACGTCATTCTCCGCATGTTATTTATTTTGACTTGTGGGAGAATTTTGTAGCCTCTGTCCTCATTTCGGAAGCGGCATCAAAAGGATTCGGAGTGAATATAGTTTTCAACAAAGTTTGTCAAATCATGTTAATGACGATAGTGGCGCATGTGTATTCATCGTGACATTGTGCAGCTTTGCTTCCACAAAGCTTTTGTCTGTCATTGTTTGTTTTGTTTTTTCTTTTGCGGTGATTCTCGAAAGGGTTTGTCAGTTTCTCTCTCTCTCTTTGTGTGTGTGTAGTCTCGTCTCACGGTTCTCTCTTGTTGTGGTTTTCAGTCACCAGACGCAGACCACCTGCTGGGACCATCCAAAGATGACAGAACTCTACCAGTCACTAGGTGAGAAACACACGCAGTCGCTTGTGGTGTCTTCCACATTTTATTTTCCAAAATCTATCCCTGAGGTTCTTGTCAAAGGTTGATTTACACAAGTGTTTTGTTTTGTATTTATCTGGCCTGGTTTTGGAATACTCAAAATGAGTTTTACATTCATGCCGCCACCTCAGTGCTATCGAGGATAATTCTATTTGTTTTGTTTCGTAGTATTTCAGCAGCAAAAACTTAACTGAATAAAATCTGTATGTTCGGTGTTTTCATGGGGCAACTGATTCTGAAAATATGATGTTTTGGTCTTTAATTTTATTTTCATGTAATCTGTCAGTGCTCTGAGCACCACAAATAAATGTCTCTCTCTTCCGGCGCGTTGGGATAAAGCCAAAATTTCCAAAGATTGATTTTTCAGACCTTGGGCCAATAAATCAAAACTGTTTACACAGCAGACATACTTTTCTTCACCTTTTCGCTAATGATATATTCATGCACACAGTCGAACTATATCAGAATACCTCATGGCCTGTTCAATGAGCTGATCCATACTGGGGGATGTGGCAATTTTGAAATTATATTCAGATCAAGTTGGCTGGGCTGATTTTTTTTTAACAATTGGGGAAAACAATCATAACATATGTGTGTGAAGGACTCAAAAAACAGATGCCTGTCAGGTTTGGGTCGGAATTGGTTTGTTTTCTCTCAGGCAGGTTCAGACAGAAAAATGCAGCCTGACCCTGACTCAGCTGTACAGGAAGGCAACAGTATTGGGAGAATAGTTTAATCATATTGCGAGGGAACTCAAAAATAATCCTCAAAAACTTCTCGCTCAGATTCTTTGGGAAATGTTTTCTGTCTTTCTGTCGTTTTGGTTGACACTTTAATAAAACAACTAATGTCAGTGCACTGATCTTTAAAAGGACCATGGGCCTGTTTCACAGAAGCGATTTGCGTGCACCACACACACACACACACACACCAAATGATCATCACACAAAAGCAACACAAGAGGAAATTATGTCATGTTGCAAATTTCACTTTGCATCTTGTACTTTGGTGAAACGAGCCTCTGGTCCTTTAAAGGCTGTTTTTGTGGTCAGGGATCATCCTGCAGTTCTATTTCGATCTTGTCCGGTTAGTTTAGTCTTTACATTTAACTTAGCCTGATCATTTCCCTTTGTCCCGCTCTCCGCTAATATCCATATGCATGTCCGCGTCCCTGCGGGGCGGCCCCGTATGACTGTTCATAAACGAGCTGCCGGATAAGTAATAAGCTGTGAAACTTTGGGAGCATTCGCTGTAGGCCAGCGGCTCAACAAATAGCACCGCACCCCACCGAGACCCACATCACTAACCTAATTATACAGTTCACATTAGCGCCCGCTCCCCCCGTGGACAATAACTAACAGAAAGTCAGTTGGCAGATTTGTTTTTCGTTGCAGTATGTTTCCTGATGTTCTGCCTCTGTTTTCTTTTTGTCCATCCTCTGCTCATGTGTCTGTCTCTATCCCTGCCTGTAGCGGACTTGAACAATGTGAGATTCTCAGCATACCGAACAGCCATGAAGATCCGCCGACTACAGAAAGCACTGTGTTGTAAGTAACACACACACACACACACACACACACACACACACACACACACACACACCTTAACTCCGTCAGTTGTAGTCCACTTCTTTTGAAGTCTTGGTGCAACAAGGGGATGCAACGATGATTTGAAGCTTTACCAGATTTCCGAACAGCACAGGAGCCAAAGATATTTTGGTTTAAAAAATGCAAGCACAGTGTTACTGCATGCGTGTGTGTGTGCGTGTGTTGTCCACGCACGGTCACAGCTGGTGATTGTGTTAAGCCTGTTGAGAATCGTTGGGTGTGCACAGGTGGGATATTTTTTTGAGCTGTTTTTTTTTTTCTTTTACCATTTTTCTCAAAGCGAAATCTGCTGTTTTCTTGTTTATATTGGAAGCTTTGATGAAGGAAGCTATTTCTTTCTGTCTCAGGTGGCTATCACGCACACACACACACACACACACACACACACACACACACACACACACACACACACACACACACGGACACACACACAGACTGCAGGTGTGTGCTGACTCCCCTCTCATGAGGTTTCAAACAGCACGGCAGCAGCTACTCTGGCTCTGTACAGTGTAATAATGGTGACAAATGTTAACCATTATCCAGCTGTTGACAGTGTTACAGCAACACACACTTTGAGCCCACACTGCTCATTTACATCCCACTGTCTGTAGGAAATCTGCTCATGTGTGAAACAAACAGATGAAATAAAACTTGGTCTCATGTGAGTGTGTGCTCTTGACCTGTGCACCTGGATATCCGAGGGAACCACATGTGTTTTTTTGTTTGTAAATGAGTTTGAATGTTTTTTTTGGGGCGTTTTAGTTTACTATCTCATATTGCCTCTGTCTGATTGCATGCAAGTGTTTGAGGCGGGAATACATTAGCCTGAGTGATTTCAACTTGGGGTGCTGCAATTCAATTTCATCCAATAGATTAGAAGAGTTCCCAAACTGTTCTCTCTGTGTGTGTGTGTGTGTCTGTCTGTGTGATTCTATACACACATACACACAGAGGGATCAGTAGTTATTAGCCTGGATTCCTTGCTTGAAGACCTGAGTGTGCTGTATGAAAGTGTGTATTTTATTGTGATGATGCACACACACACACACACACACATATATGCACGCACACACACTAACAAACAGGGATACTATAAAACGGCTAATTGGGTTAAGTCTGTGCCAGGGGGCTGGAGAAGCACAAATGAGCTTGCGTGGCATCCCACTAATGTGCCAGCCTCTGAGCTTCATCCCTGCATGCGTAGTGGGAGAAGTTTTGCTTTCTGACAGCATGGCTGCCCCGCTGAGCTCCCTCCACGTGGATACACTTCAGTAATTAGTCCTGTCTGGGGGAACGGTGGGTAACTTAAGGCAAGGAGCCGCAGAGCGGGTGAAAGTGACAGAGCAAATAAAGAGAATTAAGTGGATGAAAGAGGTGAAAACATGGCCATTAAAAAATTTCAGCCTCTTGTGTTTTAGTATTTTTTGGGTAAATCTGAAGGAATATGGTGTAATTTAACCCTGAAATTGGCGAATGCAGGACTATGTCATAATACGCCTCTGCAATTTATTTTAATAGTAACTAGAAGTGCCCTGCCAGGACTAATGTCCTTTCTCTCCATGTCAAAGCAGTGTTTCCCATTTATTACTGAAACTGTGGCGGCCCAATTTATTCTAATATGTCCTGCCCAGTTTTATAATGAGGCAAAAACATGGACACTTCTCATATTAACATTAGAGATCTTTAAATTGGTTTGTTGCTCTGTTGCTGCATTGTAAAGAGCGCCCATAAAGCTTCTACTTATAACGCAGACAGTCCGACCTCATAGTTTCAGCTGCAGTGGTGCAAGTAGCATGCAGTGCAGTTCTCACTCTCACAGCAGAACCTCTCTTCACTCTTCAGTCTGTGAATCTGTCACTCAGAATCTGTTGCACGTGGGAGGTGTGCACCCCCATTACTACATTCATACCTGAATCCGCAACAAAATTTTGCGGGTGCTTCCTTGGGCCTTCACAACATTTCCAAGAAACGGTTGAGTAGTTCTTGTGCAATAACACAGAGGAAAACACAACCTCCTTGGTGGTGGTTCTACTCTATGTGACACTGTAATGGCTTTTGATCATACTAATTCATCCAATATAGCAGACTTCACACTGTGCATGTGTTTTACCACCTGGAGTCATGTTTTGAACAGAGATGAGGTGTTGACCTTTCCACTGGACCTTGAATAAAACACTGATTAGGATTCTCATCAGGATCTGAGCTCACCCTGGATAGCTCTGTAAACTCATATTAAAACACTGTGTCCTGAAAGCATATGATCTATTAATTTGACTCGTGTTTAGAGAGTGCCAAACATACACTCTTAATTTGGTGATTTCTTCTCAGATCCTTCTTTAACACATCAAGGAGCATCAGTATCTTGATAGGAGACAGATTAAGGCGGATCACTGACCTAGAAAAGGTGAAATAATCTCACCCCACAGGCAGATCTGCTGCTTATTTTCAGGAAAATAATATTTCAGGAGTCAATATGAGACTGGGGGAGTTCTCAGTGTTAAAACAGCAAATATACCACATCTTTGTGGCACAATCTACTGCACACAGCTGCAGAAAGTGCAATTTACTTGATCAATGTTACTATTACTGGTGGTTAACTCTCTGTGTTTCTATGCAGCGGTTTAATACTGTTGTCCTAAAGGACTTCATTAGCCTGTTCTGTTAAAAAATTCCATTTTACTCTTAAGATAAGTCAAAGCTTAAGTATGGAAGATAATGAAAGTTTGATTGAGTTATTGATTTCTCTGTCTTGCAAGTTTTTCTTCATTTGTCTTCTCTTGTTCGGATTTCGTTCTCATATTAATATTTCACCACAATGATCCGTCTGTCCTCTGTCGGTGTCCCCGTAGACCTTCGTGCTCTCTTGTTATGAACTATTTTGGACAAAATATCAGTCAAGTCTGCAGTTTGAAAGTGCCTCTAAGAATAGTCTGCTGCTGAAAGCCCAATGAGCAAGTAGAAAAGGTTACTGATGGTTCTAATTCGCCTTTTTTGTCTCTCTCTCCCATCACTCCTCATGGAGTTTTTCTCTTTTACATTTTTCCTTTTGTTCCTTCTCTCTGTTCTCATTAACCTCCGCCTGCTCTCCTCCCTTCTTCACTTTCACTTCTCCTAATAATTGTCCTTTCTGTCTCATCATTGTTTTCACCCTGTTGTGTCCCCTATTATCTGTTCCATCTACCTCCTCTCCTCCTTCTCCCTCCTCCTCTTCTCCTCCAGTGGACCTGTTGGACCTCAGCGTGGCACAGAACACCTTCGAGCAGCACAAACTCACCAACAACAATCAGCTGCTCTCCGTTCCCGACGTAATCAACTGCCTGACGTCCATCTACGACGGCCTGGAGCAGGAGCACAAGGACCTGGTCAATGTGCCTCTGTGCGTCGACATGTGTCTCAACTGGCTGCTCAACGTTTACGATACGTACGTATGCCAAATCTTCTGTGTTCAGGATGGAGGATTATACATCAGGCATGAATTTCTTCCACATTGTGTATGTTGCTATCTACATATTTAAATACAGTGTATAAAATGTCTTGAATCAGATTGGATGAAAGTGGCAGTGCTGAGGCTTTGAATTTCCAAATTCCCTTATTGTTGGTGCCATCTGTGCATAATGACGATGTTGCATAATGATTGTTTTGTACATATTTTTAGACTCATGCGCTTCATATTCTGACATTGTCAACATGCTATATGCATGAACATGAGCGGCTGACATTCAAATTGCCTTGAGCACTGTGTTTGTTTGGAACTTCAGATACAAATGTATGAATATGCTCTTCACCGGTCTGAACAGCACAAACATAACTGTCCATTCACATGTGGATTCAAGCCATAAACATCTTATTTACTGGTCTGAACATTTTTCTGTGGCTGTACTCAAGATGCAGTTAGACTCTCGCTCGCTCTTTCACAAAGATGGAACTAAAGGAACATACATGCAATTAAGTCTTTTTCCAAGCACATAATTATTTTCTGTTGCATAATATTAACAATGCACTGAAATAAACACACAAACACACTGTATATACGGTGGTAAGAAAAAAATAAGTGAACACTTGGGAGTTAGCTGTATTTCCATACAGAGATCTTAAACCGGAAAGAACCCTCAGAGCACATTCCTGCACCAAAGCCCAAAAGTGCCCTTGTGTAACTACATTTAAATAAACTAGATCCAGATTCTTATTTGGATCTGCACCAAATTGCAAACACTCTCCTCAACATGCCTCATATTTTCATTAAGATCCATGAATTGTTCTGTGAGGTATCAATGAAAATGTTAAAAAGAACTCATGTTAAAGTAAGTAACCAAGATCTGCACCAAAATTGTATTGGTAATTTCCTGACCCGCACCGCATCCTTTAACAAGTTGCAAAGTAATTTGTCGAGTATTTTTTGTATAATCCTTCAAACTAGCAGACAAATGAAAATATTAACAAATACAATAAGATCATCATAGTTATAATTATGAGCAAATTATTTTAACTAATAACATAGTAACTTTGGCTTGAAAAAGTGTATGAACTCCTCAGTTAATAAAGTCAACACTAAAAAGAAGAAGGGATGAATGAATCTAGAATTCAATCAATTCAATAATATAAAGTGTTCATTGGAGCTACTTTATTTAATAAAAGATACTCAAGCCTTTGTTGTTCACTGGATTTATCCATTTAAGTAACTCATGCCTGGGCAAAGAAGATCTCAGTAGACACTTAATCAAGAATGGTTGGTTTATAAAGCTGGAAATGTTTAGACAAACTCTATTTCATCCACAGTTACCAGAGCTGCTTATTTGAGGTCAATGCTGCCAGAAGAGGTTTGCGTTGTTATTAAATCCAAGGGCTCGCTGACTTCTTCACCAGCTCTTGTGAATGGTTCATTAGTGTGAGTTCAAGACAGAAATGGACCAATGGCAAATTAATGAAATGAAGAGAGAAGGGTTCACTTTTTTCTCACTACTGGACACAAACGTATGATCCCACAATGAATATAATAAAAGGACTGATTGCCAGTGTTTGTGTGCTCTGCAGTGGTCGCAGTGGGAAGATCCGCGTCCTGTCCATGAAGATCGGCGTGCTCTCCCTCTCTAAGGGCCACCTGGAGGAGAAATACAAATGTAAGTGTATGTGAGAAGGTATCAGTGAGTAGGAAGATAAACACCCCCTCCTTCCCCACGCGATACAGACTCAATCTGAGGCGAGTCCATCCCGTACTGCTCCAGTACAGCTGTAATCCCAGAAGTATTAATCAGGCTTGTGAAGAGCCTGGGAGAGAGGGCTGGTGAGCTGGTCGTCTAATTGGATGAGAGACCTCCTACGCGTTTCTCCTGCTTTTTTATTTAATTCTCTATTCTGATTTATTTTGAGGATTAGGGAGCGTGAATATCGGCTCGCCGCACAGGGAGGAAACTCATTTTGTTTTCTGCTCTGTGTTTTGACTGCTTTATCTCTCTCTTCCCTCGCTGTCACTGCTCGCACCGTTGTTCATCCATCTGACGGTGCCACTTTGTCTTCTGTCCTATCTTACTTACTCCTTCCTCCATTCTTCCCTCCATCCTCATTCCTTCCCTCCTCTTCCTCCTCCCCTCCTCCCTCTCTCCTGCCATGGCATGGACTCCTTGAGCCTATTTGTTCCACTGGCGGTTTCTATTAGCCTGAGAAGGGTATCAAGCACGGTTGATTGCATCCCTCCTCCTTTACTATCTTAAAGTCTCATTGTCTTTCAGTCCCATGCATATAGCCGCACGGCATCCCACACACATGCACACGTAACCAGGCACGGTGCCATTTGCGTATGTCAAATGTAATCTCGTAGCAGAAAGTCGTGAGTTGGAGATGAGGGGGTTTTCACATGCCACAAAGTGTGTGTGGAGGAAAGCGGTCACGAACAAGCACCTTGTGTTTGCATGTCACACACACACACATGCACAGGAGCTAGCATCAGGGCCAGGTGTCACACAGAGATCAAAGTCAGCTGCAAGCAGAGCAGAAAGAGCTGTCATGTCCTCCGTTTCTCCTTCTTCTCCCTCCCCTGTTCCAACGCATTACCCTCTCTCCTCTCTTTGCTCAGTTTGTGCATGAGCTCTGGAGACGTTTCATAACTTCTTCCTAAAATATAACGGTGTAAACACATTAACACTGGCTGAGCCTACAGCACGTGTCAATGGGCAGGTATCCACGTCCAGTACAGCTCTATCAGTCCATATGAAATGTGGAGGTGAGTTGGAGGCAGGGAGCGAGAGATTAGGGAAGAAAAGAGCCTGGTGTACAAGAAGTGAGACAGAAAGATTAAAAATGCATCATTTCCATGTGTCCTCCGTGCCACGCTTCACCCACATATACACACACTGACATTTTCCCTCCCTCTCCCTGCTATACTTTTCCTCTCCCTCTACATTTAGTGTATTTATACCCACACTATATATTTTCCTTTAAATATCACCATCGTGCTATGACTGTTCCCCTCACAGCCTCTCTCTCATATTTCCTCCGCCTCCCCTTCTCCTTCCCCCTCAGACCTTTTCAGCCAGGTGGCGTCGGCAGGTGACACGTGTGACCAGCGGCAGCTCGGACTTCTCCTTCACGAAGCCATCCAGATCCCGAGGCAGCTGGGGGAGGTGGCCGCCTTCGGAGGCTCTAACATCGAGCCCAGCGTCCGCAGCTGCTTCCAGCACGTAGGTTCACATGCAACACGCAGAAAGCATCACTGTGCTCACGCTCACATTCGGAATAAATAAGCACAGCAGCTGGGGATCAGGTTTTAGTAATCACATATTGTTCTTAATACTGTTTGGTTTACTGGCAGTGGAGGGAAATATATTTTTAGATTTGTATTTTGGCCATGTTGTTACCAGTTGTGTAAAATGAACACATGCACAATATAAATCCATCATATTAAGTGTTGTCAATCTTTGCATATTATCTTCAAATTAAATCTAAGTACAGAAGGACTCCATGTTATTGAGTGGTCTGTCTGGAAAATGGAATATCTTGATATTCTGGGGTGAGTCATGCGTGAGACCTGTCTTAGGTGTTACTCGCCTCTCGTCAGCTGGGATTGGCCTGAGCCCCCTTGCAAGGATAAGTGCTCCAGATAATGGATAGTTGTGCGTGCCATCTGTTGGTAAGATGTGCAATTTAGTGGGACTCTGCAGGTATTCAACTTCTTTTCAAGGAGCCTCAGCTTCTTGAAAGGCTGTAAATTGTTTTTTTGTCATGCAGGGTTATATACGATCTCTGTTGGATGCACACAGTATAAAGTGCATATGAATTTATGCAAAAATAAGATTCTGTACTAATCTGCGTTTTGGCCCCGTACCTTTACATGCTACAACAAACTTGCTAACTTCTTCTCTGTTCAGAATAGTTAGTCTGGTGTGATGTTGGCAACATTCCTGATTCGTTTTTGGACGGTAATCAATACTGTAATGTGTAAAACAAATTATTCAGTTCTATGCTGCACCTTCCCCAAAATCAAATTGTCATCAGATACCCGCAGTCGCCTCCGCATCTCCCGGCCACCTACCTCCTGTCACTCTCATTTCTATAAAAGTGCTTTAATATTTAAGCTGTGCTGACCAATCTTGAAGCCTGAGAATGGCCCCCAGGCTTCTGCTGGCTGTCCTCTGCTGTTTTACTGCGGCCAGTGAACCACTTTCCACCGGGTTTATCTCGAGACATTACTGGCATTTAATGATGTCTTCATCCCCCGGGATCACCGTTTCATTTTTCTCCCTCTTTCTCCCCTGGCTCGTGCTTCGGCAGTCATAAATGCCAAACATTAAAATTAGGAAGCTGTAAATTTCACTGATACCCTGTGCTGCAGCTCCCAAAATAGCCGAGTGAGGCACTTTCAAACCTTGTCTCTCTGTGTCTTCTCAAAATAATGCAAAAGGTAAGGGGGCAAACACCTTGGAGCTTTGGCTGCAATTCACTGCATCGATGACACATTGATACACACATGTATACACAAGCACGTGCACAAACTGCTTACAGACATGATCATAAGTCGCTGCGCCGGCTGTAGTCCAGTTGCTTCTTAATCACCTGGTCATCAAACCAAGTTGGCAGCGAGAAACACACACACTCAAGCAGAGCCCTGTCCCATCTGTGTTTCAGTCTGCCCTGCCAGTGACAGTGCAGTCACCCAGTCCATTTGCTTTAATGGGCCTGTGATGAACAGGTTGCGCCTGCAATAAATATGCCCCCTTTCACTCTTCCTTTGTCCCTCTCTTCATCCATCCATCTATCATCCATCCGTCTATATACGTCGATATCCCTTCAGCCATCTCTCCCCTGCAGTAATTATTCTGTATGCGCTCTAATTCTGTGCTGAGGTGACAAGTAGGAGGAGAGGAAGGTGAAGATGAGTCTGACGTAGAGGAGAGATGCAGAGACGCTCCGCGGAGGAAGGTCAAATGGAAGGGTTGAGGATTTAAAGATGTCTGCAGGGTGAAAAAGTTTCATTGGCAGGGTCATCACTTCTCGGGAATTTAATTTCGGATGATCTTAGACCCTCCTGCATCAACCACATGTGTTTTTTGTGTTTTTTAAAAATTGATTATAAATCTCCCTTAAAATAAAACCTAACCCTTTACGTTATCTTGAAGCCTGGGTGTCATTTGAAAGTTTCAGATTTAATACCAAAAACTTTTCTTTTAGATACCTTCCTTTTTAGGAACATAAACATGTTTTTATATAAATTACCCAGAAGTTCCCAAATGTTATATTTGCCTAAATGCAGGCAGCTGAACTATAGTTGGCAAAATTTAATTAAGAAACTTTTCACGAGCACAGAAGAGGAGAAATCTTCGTAAATATTTGAGCACTTGACTTTTTCAATATTTGGTGCTGTGAATACATTTGGGTCAGCACCATAAAATGTTCCCTATCTCTCTCTTCCACACACACAYACACACACACACACACACACACACACACACGAAAGCTGACTGATGAATGTTGTCTCTGATAACCAACTGTGAATTTTAATTTAATAAGCCAATCCCTGTTTCCAATTTTCAGGTTGGAATGTGCTTCCTTTTAGTTTGATTTGTAGCGTGAATTTATTTTCAGAAGGATATGCTAATAAAACTGAGACAGTCTCACACACCATGAGCCTTGGGAGGGGATCACTGTACACACACACATACACACACACACACACACACACACACACACACA